TCATGCACCTGTTTGTTTAAAAAAATACATGTCCAAAATATCCATATATCCCTTTAGAAAATGAATAGACCAATCAAATAAAATGTCCAATTTTACTTGGTTTTTGCATTTTCTAGGCTTTTGACTGGGTCAGAACATTTCTATCTAGAAAATGGGGGTCACTTGAATGACCCCCTATAATGTCAATCGGGATATTTTTTACAATTTCTAGGGGTAATGGTTCTACTGGGACCGTCGTACCCTGTGATGGTTATTATTAGTTATCCGAACATTTTCTAAATATAAATTTTAGGTTGGGGTGATAATTCTATTGGAACCATCATTTTTTTTAGTTTTGGATAATTTTTTATTTTCATATATATATATATATATATTTGTTTTTTTTTGGAGGTCCATTGATTTAAGCTGACATTTAATCCACTTAACTTGGTGGAACCCACGAAGGATAATTCTGAGATACAAAGGGATACTAATAATTTCAATAAATCAATTAATGCAGATACCTTCCCCAGGAAATATACGATAAATATTTGGTATCATTATATTTTGACAAAACAATACCTTGGCAAAATAATATTTTGGCAACATAATATTATGATAAAATACTATTTTGACAAATAATATTTTGGTAAAATTATTGACAAAATAATATTTTGGTAAAATGATATTTTGGCAAAATAATATCTTGGGATAGACACTGGTCATTTTCCAAAGAAAAACGCTGTTCAAAGCAAACGGTTTTGCAAATTGGTTCACGAAATAGCCGCAATTTGAATGACAGAAAAACCAACCCAAAAATCTTTGATCTTTACCGAAAAAAACAACAGCAAGAACATCATGAAGCAAACGGACCCCCCAGGAGCCCGAATTATCTGCTACTAAGTCTGATTTTGATTTATTGATATGGCTGCGCCGTATTGTTCGCTCGCCAAGGGTGGTGCAAGATTGGGTTGCGTTTTATCATCACGGGTGCCGGGACGCCGGGACGCCGCCGTGCATGAACATGCTTTGAAGTCATAAGACCGTTCAGCCAAGCTTGAATTTGAGTTTGTTTGGTCATGAAAACCATGTTAATTGATCTTTCTATCGGCTTATGTTGCGTGATAAGCGTCACTGTTTGCAAATTTTGTGGTTTGAGGCTGACAATACCACTTGCAAATAAATCAGCACCATCCAAATATTCGAACCGTAGCGCAAACATACAATACCAATCTAATATAACCTAAGAAATATCAATTTAATTGGAAACTAGATTTGTATTATACAATTTTATTCAACCTTTTAAAGAGTAGAATGCAAAATCCAGAGTACGATTTTGTTGCAAAATTCAAGGGGAAAAGTGTATGCAATTGCTTTATTGTTGAGTCAAACCAAACTTAACACCTGAATGTAATGAGACAACGCCTGAATATTAGGAAAATGATTTCTATATATTATTATTATTTATTTATAATTTAATTTTTATTATATTTTTTTAATTATTTGTTTAAATATTTTTATAAATAATTTCTTTATATATTTTTATTTTTATTTATAAATTATTTATAAATTTTGGAATTATATTTTTTAAAATTTAATTATTAATATTTTATATTTCAAATTATATATTAAGGAGGATGCAAAATAAAATAATATATATATATTTATTTATTTTGGAATAGATATTTTTTATATAGATTTGAAATAAACATTAATTATATCAATTTATTTTAATTATATTATGAAATTATTTATAACATTGGGATATTTTAAAAATATATTTTAATAATTTTATTTAAATTAATTATTTTTTTTGAAAAATAACATAATTGTTTATATATTAATTTAAAAGATTATGAATATTTGATATTTATGGAATTTATCTATAAATATTTATGAAATAATATGATATATTAATATTTTTTTTTTAATTTTTCACATTTCTATGGGTTAATGATAAATTTTTAAATTTAATAGGGGTGTGAAATGTGGGAGGGAATACAATGGAATTATAGATAAAATATTCTGAATATATATATATATATTTGAGAAACTAAGAATAATTTCATATTATATATTTATTTTATATAATTATTATTTTGAAATTATTAAATATTTTAAATATTAATGTATTTTTCGAATCATTTTGAAAAATTATATGGTATCGAAAGGATATTATTGAAATTTTATTAATTTTATGATCAAATATCGAATGACTATATGGAAATTAATGAAATAAATTTATTAATCTATAAAATTAACAAATATAATTTATTTTATTTTTATATATTTCCAATTTTTTATATAAAACACCTAATTCCACCCCTATATTTTATATATTTGATATTATCTTATATTATCCAAATTATTCCAATAAATAAATATTATTTTCCCCTATTTTTCATATATTTTAAAATTTTTAATTTACCATGAATTAATGATTTATAATGATAATTCATTCCCCAAAAGAATAATTTTTTGGAATTTGCCAACTATTATTTTGTATTGGTGTTGCAAGGCAGATCCCCTCCATAATTTATTTGAATTAAACATCTTATTATATTTTTTTTTGATATAATTTCGGTCGCCGAGTTTGACCACCTGCCCCCCCCGCCTACCTGTCACATATCTGATGGAAATATATGAAATGGAGGGGGAATATTTATACGAAAAATAAGAATATATTTTTTGAATTAATTTATATATTTATTTATTTATTACATATTATTCAAATATATTATTTATTTATTATTAATAATATATATTTTATAATAATAATAATTATATATATATATTAAATTATGAATATATTTCCTCAATTATATATATATATATTATTTATATTTTTCTATTAACGATTATGCTATATATTATAAAAATATTATTATTATTCTTAAACAATAATATATAAATAAATGATATATATAATTTGAATTTAGATATATATGATCACCGACAGAATTATGGGAAAAAAAATATTCAACTTAGACAGGCGGCGCCTGCGTCCGATTTTTCCATAATTGGATTTTTCCCCATAAGGGTTCAAAATATACCGGAAGTGATCCGAATCTTTTTTTTCCCATAATTCTTGGAGGTGGCCATTATTTCCACAATTAATTTTTCCTGTGAAATCAGGGGGCTAGGGCAAATTGACCGGTTTTTCCATAATTAATTTTTCCATAATTAATGTTTGGGGCTCCACCTGTTGGACGTGTCATGGATCCACAATTCAAACCCATTTTTTTTTGGGGCTATGGAAATATGTATGCAAATATAAATATGTAATATCAACCCAATTGGTGACTTGGCAAAAAGAAATATCCAGATATTCTGTATATCAATGGCAGGCTTTAGGGGCATATACCAGATCTTTAGACACATATTTTCTATAATTCAATATTCCCCCTTAAAATGCATTCAAATTACGAATCGATGGACATATAATTACCGACAGAATTCTGGGAAAAAAATAATTTTGGAAAAAAAATAATTATGGAAAAAAAAAATCGAAAATTTTTCTATCATAGATAGGCAACACCTGTAAATTGAAATATATATATTTTTTCCATAATTCTGTCGGTGATTATATATATTTGATATAGTA